TATCAAATTGAAGACCCCCGTATTGGTTGATATCGTCATCGTCCGTATTGATTTTATGTTTTTCTCCGCCTTAATTTCCTCTACTATATATACATTATAAATATAGATATACTACACGTATTTTAACAAGTAAAAAATCTCATCTGGCAATATACTGGATGCTTTTCTCTATGATATTTTCAAGATAGATCAAAATAGATTCTTGAGTTGCCGTTAAAGAGTTGGCGATATTTCATCAATAACTGCTGGAGGTAAGAAGACTAAAGTAAATCGTGTAGACAGGCAGGTAGTAGGGGGTTATACGTCCGCTTCTAACGTGGGTGATATCGCAGACAAACGTTTCCTAAGAAACTTGCCGGAGAAGCCGCATTAAAGTTTAGTTCGACTACAGGTATTGTATACTTATTTGAAGATATTTTAATTTCGTAAAGTAATTGGTTTCTAAATAGTGACACAGTGAATACTATTTCTGCAGTTCAAGGAACAAATTGCTCGAGGCAATGTAAACATAGGTTAGAATCGGACAAAGAAACAAGAAGTAACGTTGAGACCAATAGGAGAATATTTGGTGGTCCGATCCCCACATGCACACCAGTCAAGAGCTTGATTCAAATTGACCTTACATTGGTCTACAAATATTCTGGTAAAGTCAAGTGAATGTTTGCCCAAACCCTGTTTCTCGTTTTTGCAAGCCTTTCAATGTTTCTAATTATATTAACCAAAAATTATTTTAATTTCAGGTCTTGAGAGCAAAAATGGATTCTTTGACCGCAAATGAAACAAGAAATAATTCTATGAATGAATCATCAACATTTTCTAGAGGCAAGGTTTCTTTGGACACCACTGTGTTTTATCTGGAGATCCTTAGGGCTGTTATTGCTTTGGTTGGTATATTACTTTCAACAGTTACCATCATTACCATCAGAAAATGTCACGGAACTTTGGCAAAAATAAAACTGATCGTTTGGAATATCTGTATAGGCAACATCATGTGTAACATTCAGGCCTGCTTTCTTTTGGGTAGTCATACTATGGAAGCTGTTTTACCCAATTTTGAACAATTTAGATGTCCTCTGCGAATTCTGAAAGGTCTTTGTTTTCGTTCTGGGGGATTGGTGCTTGCTTGTTCAAACATTTGCTTGGCTGGAGATATTGCCTTTTGCTTTTGGTTACCGCTGAAATATAGATTCAGTTGTCAGTCTAGACGAACTACTTTATACATAACAATAATATGGCTGCCACCTTGTGTGTTTATTGTATATTCTGTTTTAAGGTTTATTATTTTATCTCGGGATAATTCGTCCGTAGGCTGTTATGATTTTTCGTTAATCTTCGTCTCAACGATTGGAGCATCCGCGTTGTTAATGTTTATTTTACTAACACTAAACTTTGTGTTGTATTTTGCTGGTTTCATATCCATGTATTTTTGGAAGAGACGGGATCTAACCAATAAATATCATATGCAGCAGGAAGTAAAGAGGAAAAACAAGATTTTAATATTAGCCTTTATTATCACCGTATCGTATTTAATCTGTATGATGCCTGGCCATTTGTACTTCGCCGTATGTAACCTGGCTAAGGTTTGCCCTCAATCAATGCTTCGAGGGAACATACTCGAGCATATTCTGCAGCTCATGCGTATGGCAAACGGCATCTTTAATCCAATTATCTGTTTTACCAGCAATAATAATATTCGACAGATCGTACGTCAGTGGTGTACCCGTTGTTGTCGTAGATTGGCACATGGAAGTGATGTCGGTCGACATGCGAACAATATCAATACTTCTATACAGAGTTTAAGTTACAGAAGTGATGAACGGGAAAATGAGAGTTAAAGGACAATGTTGGTGTTCACTGTTATTACATATATGACAAAACAGGTTTTAACACATTCCAAATATAGCGATCTTTGTTACGGTTCATCAATAGTAAAGTATTAAAAAATCGGTAAGGGACTTCAATAAAGGGCAGCGGTTGTTGTTACTGACTGAAGTACAGAACGATCTACATGCATATGTCTGTTAATAATAATGTGGGATAAAACAGCTGGCCACAGATCACCATGGATTTCTCCAATGACTTCAATGTTAATTCTCTGTGGCCGCCTCTAAAATTTCCCCAGAACATGTTGCGCTGTGAAAATATTAAGCTACATAAACCGAAAGTAACAGACCATTAAAATGACTTCAATGATAATTAACATGACTTTAATGTTGATTACAATGACTTTATTGTACATTGAAATGACTTTAATGTTTATTAAAATGACCTAATGTTGATTAAAATGACTTTAATGACTTTAATGTTAATCAAAATGACTTTAATGTTAATCAAAATGATTTTAATATTAATTCTCTGTCACCGCCTCTAACATATACTTAAAACTTCATTGGATGTAACATGGTCTGCCATCTTCCTACGACCTTCATTGGATGTAACATGTTGCGCCATCTTCATTGCGAACTTCATTGGATGTAACATGTTGCGCCATCTTCCTACGAACTTCATTGGATGTAACATGTTGCGCTATCTTCCTACGATCTGCGTTGATAGCCTCTGTACTCATGTAAGTTGTTGTACAATGTAGTTTTGTATTGTGGTGAAAATGCAGATATAAATATCTAGTAAAGAGTTGTGTATTAATTTATTTTAAGATGTCTTCAAATCTTTAGGTCGTATCGAAGGATTGGGTCATCGAGTGGTTTAAGATCTGTTATTGATTCAAGTGACGTGATGTCGATTCCAAGCTTGTACATGACAATGACTAGTTACCCCCTGTTCAACCCCGTGTGTATTCGTCTTGTCCTCCAATGATTTCCCATATTCCAGAGGCTGATCCAAGGGGGGGGGGGGGCGACAGTGCCCTTTTTTACTGCTGAAAGTGCCTTTTCTCAGACCCAAATATGTCCGTTCCCAACCCGTTGCAGGGATCCCAAATGACTCAAACCATCGACTCAAACACACCAGTCTGGTCTAATTAATGCTTCCACTTTCAAACGAATTCTTGTTGTTTAGCTGACGGTGCCCTAATCCTATAGAGTGACTATAGACAAGACATCAATGATAGCATCTTGTGGAATCGGCGGCGTATATCCTCATGCCCATCACCGACACGCATGAGTGCAACTTAATGTAGCATTGTTTCATGTGTGGACAGTACACAGTACAAGTTACAAGGCTTAAATAGTGAAGAGGCTAGGGAATAGATTCGTCTTTTTTCCCATCATAATGCCTCGATCGCCGTGACAATTTTCGAGTCGCATGTTCAACTGGCTTTTTTGCTCGATTTTAAGGCTCTTTATCAACGATTTCCGAACGTTTACTTAGACGAAAATATTAGCCAAATAGCTCTTGGAATGGCTACAGATGCAAGGAAATGACGGATAATTCCCCCACCCCCCTCAGCGGCGTGCCCCGTCTCCGCAGTCAGTGCCCTCATTTTGCGGCGCCCCACTTTTCAAAATTCCTAGATCCGCCCCTGTATTCCTATGGTTCTTTTACGTGCGCACCAATGCGTGCGATGGTCCCCGGTTAGGAGTTATGTAACATTGTTTTCAGAATAGTAACTAACATTTTTAACGTCTAGTGTTAGGCGTCAACCGGGATAGAGAAGACAGGCATTCGCCACGTAGAGTGTTATTAAATACCCGCTCATCGGCGATTCGTCATACCCGAACAATCGAAAGCTATTCCTTGCAAGAACTTGTCGAAACGTTCATTAAGTTTTATCTCAGACTTTGCATAAAATCTAATTGCGACAAACTGGAAATTATTTTTAACGAACCGAAAAAAGTCCTTTTAAGTGCTAATGTTTCATTTCTGAGAACATCTTACTTTATTAAATGCCAGGCCTTATGGTATAAAGCGAATGCGTTAGACACCCCGTCCCCCACCCTCGGATTTGATATGAAAACAGGACGCATTAAACTGTAATACCACAATATAAACGAGTGAGTGACATTATACACGAGAAACCATATATAAAGCTGGTGAATTATAATAGAAAGAACCCCCTCTTCATAAATCATCGTACGAAACCACGCAAGGATAAAGTTTACCATATAGATAATCGTACGAAACCATGCATCCTTAACCTTTACATATAAATCAAACTAAATCATATCCAACTGAATAACGAAACGGTAACTGATTTATGGAAAAGTTTCATGTTGCAGAAAAGATCTTTAAGGCTGCATTCCCTATTGTAATAAACTAAAACATTGAGCATACTGTGTGTCTCTTTAGATCAGTTTTGATATGATAATACTGATGACATACGACCATCGTGACACCTTACTAGCTTATGTGCATTACTTGCTCTTTAAACAATCGGAATATAAAACGGAACGAAACGTTTGTATAATTTTCAGATTAAAAGGCAAAATCAAGCCACATATATAATTATGTTGTTATACCTGTGGCCTCCAGTTTATATCAGCCATACACAACTCAGTTCGGATTTTGGAATCCTCCCCTACCCAAACTCCGCGCATGTCTCTCAGGTAGGTTAAATGGGCTATTGCGTATTTGGCTTTAGATGGGCATACTTATTCTCACTGCTCCTTTAACTCCCCTTAAATAGAGCGGGCACCCTCCCACTTCTAAAGGGGGGGGGGCTGAATGGTTAGCGTGCGCGCGCTGTATCATAAAGTCTGTCATTGAGTCGACTGGCGTGGCTTCGAATCCCCGGTTGTACGTGACAAGGAGTAGGGTCGCCTGTCCAACCTCGTGGGTTTTCTCCGGGTCCTCCGGTTTCCCCCCACTGCTAAAGACCCCTACGCGCAAGCGAATTATTGAAATAAAATTAAAAACAATATGTTAGTCCCGAAATGACCTAGTTTGTGTCGAGTGGACGTTAAACCCCATTTCTCTCTCTCTCTCTCTCGCACTTCTACAGACCCTCCTTTTCTCTCTCTCCATCGGAAATTTCACATAAAATAAAAACATTCAACGGAAAAAGATAAGAAACGTACCGGTATATTCATGACAAAAATATTAAATAACATTACAAATGTACACGTATTTATTTCATATTATAATTATTTCGTTTGTGTGTCTTTCTCTGGGAAGTACGGCAATATTGGGCAATATTTTGCAAACCTCGATGACTTTATGAAATTTGGAACCCATGGTATGTCATAAACCTCCATCCCCTCTTCATATTCTACTTTATGGTCCCCGACTTGTGTCCCTTCGCCTTCTAGTTGGGCTATTAAACCGCGTTCTTGTATCGTTCCTGGAATATGAAAATAAACAGACAGTAATAACAGATTTTGATAGCGGCTGAACACAAAATTTCACACACTGAAAGATGTTGATGTTCTTAGTGTTTAACGTTCGGCTTCCACCGAAGGTGATATCGCAGACAAGTTGTCTTTTTTTTATTTTCATTATCTTAGCGCACGCGCAGGGGTCTTTCCTGTTGGAGGAAACTGGAGTACTCGGAGTAAACGCACGAGGTTGAGAAGGCGCTCCTATCTCCAAGCCACATACGCTCACACCAGGGATCGAAAACACAACCGCAAGCCAGAGGTGACCGGTCAGCTAGAGGTCGAAGCGTGACACTCTAGACCACTAGGCTATACCAACGCCCCTCACACATTGAAAGATAGCACAGACTCTTCTTATAGGAAAGACGCTGGCTCGGTGTTGGCCGGGAAAGTTCATCGATATTTTCCGGCGTGGTTTTCCCTTGTCAGTGGTGCAGTACGGGAGACCTGACAAGGAGAGCTGTCTAGGCGTTCGGATTATACTATAAAAACCCGAGGTCTGGTGTGCACGTAAACGACCTCTTGACAGTTGGAGTGCGATACAAGATTGGCAGTTGGAATGCGATACAAGAGTAGGCTGTAGCGCCGCTGTCCGGGCAAAATTTCCCTCATAGCAAGGACGTTAAACCCCATTTCATTATAAAGTAGTTAAACCAGTACGACTCATTGTATACACGTGAACGCTGCACCAGTCTGGCTAATAACGTCAACTATTCAATAAGTTTAAACATCTCAACGACCTACCTTTAACAGTATTGTCGAGAAAACAGGCCACGACTCCAGCTACAAATATACCATTAGCTAACAACATGGTTAAAGTTCTATCCAATTCAGGTACTCCTAAAGATAAAGACACAAAAGGTTTGTGAGAGGACATGATAAGAAACAAATATTTAGTGCAACAAAAAAAGAAAAACAAAAAAACCCCCAAAACCCACAGTCATTTTTCCAAAATATAAGGTGAACATCAATTTTTTTATTGTCGGTTCTTGGTTTGACGGACCACCTAACCCTTACTGTAAAATACCAACTGAATACCTGGAACAAAGCTTGATGATTTTTAGACCAGGGGCTTATCTTGAAAAAATCATAGGACATAATTTAGTTCTTGGTCAATCGGAAGGCTAAGATATTTTTACTTTCGTTTTCTTGAAAAAAAAAGCCCCTGCGTTCTCAAAGCGCTACCCACCGTTCTTCCTGTTCTTGGGGGCGACATACTTTGAAAAATGTCTAAAGCTCTACAAATACAAGTAGAATCGGCATGAAACTGGACATGATTGTTCCTTTGGTAATCGTGCAGCGATTGGCGGATTTCGATGTTTGATATCAAATCACAATTCCAAGATGGCGGCGGTGACGTCATGCTCAGATCCATATCATTCCCCAGTCTCGTTATCCTGCGAGGCGAGGAAGGTAAGGAAAGACAACTCTGTTTGGGAGATTGGGTCCATGTTTACTTGGTATGACGTCACACGTACAAGATAGCGGTGGTGATGCCAATCTCGGTTCATGGTCCATAGTATGCTACTCAGGATGATTAAAACACTGACTTACTATAGCCAGGAGGTCCAGGGTCCATCCATCATTGAGTCGACTGGCGTGGTTTCGAATTCTCGGTTGTACGTGACAAGGAGTAGGGTCGCCTGTCCAGCCTCGTGGGTTTTCTCCGGGTCCTCCGGTTTCCGCCCACTGCTAAAGACCCCTATACGCAAGCGAATTATTGAAATAAAATTAAACCATATGTTAGTCCCGAAATGACCAAGTTTGTGTCGAGTGGACGTTAAACCCATTTCTCTCTCTCTCTCTCTCTCTCTCTCTCCCAGGATCCATCCAGGAAATGGCCATAATGCAGGACGAAGGGCCTGACAACGAGCAGAGTCTAGTCGATGGGACGAAAACCCAAGGTCCTATGTACACGTCGACATGCACGTAAAATAATCTATAACAGTTAAAATTTGCAATAAGACTAGACCGTAGCGCAGGTATGTGAGCAAACTGCCATATAAAAAAACTGCAAAGCGTTTATTCGTCTTCAATCGCACATTAATTTATAAATTGGTACAGAACATTAGGACGTTAAAACCCCATTTCATTTTATTTATCTTACCTGTATCAATTGCCTCTGGGTTGTTCTCTACCCAATAGGGTGACATAAAACCCACCAATATACTGATACCAAGTATAGCCAGGTTCCGGGTACTGTTTAAATCGATAAATTGTAATTGAGATAGAACGATACCGAAAAATATTCCAAAATATAATATCATGGTACCGCCCAAAACACTGTAAGGTATGGTGATGAATGCGGCATTTAATTTTCCTAATACAGCGAACAACATGTAGATGAGAGCTAATACCTGAAATACCCTTCTACTCGCAACCTGGAAAAAAATAATCAAGTTTATGCTGACAAACACCTGAGGTCCTATCTTATACTTTCAACAAGGAAATAAATGTTACTAAATATATACAATATCATTATTTCAATCCAAACATAAGACTAACTAGTGGGGCGGTTAAGGAAGAATTTTTGGTAGAATCGTGCATTTTGGGTTAAAAGCATGAAACTTGGCACATAGATGGCATCAACCCTACTGATTATTTTGGGATGTGGTCGTTACGGCCATCTTTTCCAAAATGGCCGCCTATTCATTGATATACATATAACAAGGGGTGTCACAATAAGACATCTTTTTACAAATCATTTCAGGCCAGCAATTTCCAGATGCAAAATTGCTAGCTGAACACGATTTTGGAAAAAAGATTTATCTATGACGTCATTTTCGTTTGGGGTTTGCCTGATTTAAAAAATGGCCGCCAAAATTTGAAGAAAAATGAATTTCCAGATAGGATGGGTGATTATCACGCAATGTATGCCTTGTAATATATCAAATATAAGGTTTTTATTGTAATTGAACTGAAAAATAATCTCTTAAAATAGTTTCCCCAAATCCAAGATGGCAGAAATTCAAAATGGCGGCCAAAATATACCCAAAATTGCGGAAAAGATGGCCGTAACGACCACCAGGGAGAGCTGCTGAGGTGGATCCACATCCCAAAATAATCAGTAGGGTTGATGCCATCTATGTGCCAAGTTTCATGCTTTTAACCCAAAGTGCACATTTTTTTGCTTAACCGCCCCACTAAACGTGTGGGTGTGTTTCTTGAAAACAACTATTAAATATACATTATGCAAGAGCCTGAAATGTTATCTAAATTATTAATTAGACATTAATTAACCTATCCAGACCATAATCAACTCTCGATGGCATCGCTAGCCTGCGATCTTTAGAGGATTATGAGCCGATTTACTGCATAACTTTCCTTCACGATTTAATGATTAAATGGATCATCGAGACTATGCTGTTTATCGTACTGACTTTAGTAATGATGATCGAGTCTAGGCGGAAATTTTCGGCTCATAGTGGATCAATTTGAATGAAATTTTCAGCAAATTACCTTTACATTATCTAGTTTTTAACTATTATAATGAGAACTACCAACTCGTTATCGAATCTCCCATAATGTATCTTTAAATGGGTAGGACTCGTAAATTGAATCTTAAAACATCACAATTTCAGCAAGGGAAACCGTGTAATAGAAACACCAAGCTAAAGGGAGAGAAAAATTGGGTTTAACCTCCATCCGACACAAACTATGTATCTTCGGGACTAACATTTGGTTCAATGTCATTTCAGTAATTCGCGTAGGGGTCTTTAGCAGTTTGGTGGTGGGGGGGGGCTAGAGGACCCAGAGAAAACCCACGAGGTTGGACTGGCAACCATGCGCCTTAATTCTAGGGGTGTGTATAGATGTATTTTATGGCTTTATTTTAACATATTTTAAACATATGACTTAAAACAAATGCAATTATCGCTTGAAAGATAAGTAGATGAAATGATAAAAACCTTAGTTATTCCTATAGCACCAATATTGCCACCATACGAGTTGGTGCCGTGTCCAGCTCCAGTCATACCAGCAAAAAAACTCATTAAACCTTCCCAGAATATTCCACGATTCATGGCATGGGCTGGTGGGAAGGGAACAAAACACATCCTGGCGCATGCGTTGTAATCGCAGATAGAATCCACTATGGACATGATTGTTGCAACAAAAGCTCCTATAAATGCGGCTGTGTCGAATCTAAAACTTCCGAATTGACCTATAAAAGAGAGAGAAAGAAAGATGAGGTTTAACGTCCACTTGACACAAACTATGTCATTTCGGGACTAACAAATAGTTGAATTATATTTCAATAATTCGGTTGCACGTAATAGTCTTTAGCAGTGGGAGTAAATCGGAGGAACCGGAGAAAACCCACGAGGTTGGACAGGCGACCCAACAGACTCAATGACACACCTTATGATACAGCGCGGCCGTGCTAACCATTCGGCCATCCAATCCCCCGACCTATAAAAGAATACATCATCCTAAAGACACACCATTATTACACATGTATAAATCTAAAGATGAACAAGAAACACACAAGAAATCAAGACCACATTTAATTTGGAATGTTGGTGGCTAGGGATCTCATTTTAGTTATTCGTATATTGTGATTTCAAATGTCGATATATGTTTCTTTGAGTATTTTATCAAGAAAGATATCAAGGTCACATTTAATCTGGAATGTTGGTCGCTATTAAGGTTTCCATAATTCCCATATTGTAATTTCCATAGTCTATTAATTCTTGGAGTATTTTATCATGAACAATGCCTTATAATATATAGTATTTTAACCTGTATTTCAATATACTAGACTATATTATTTCAAATTTCCAGAATCCTAATTACTGGGTCCTCAGCCTAGGTCCAGGTAAAAATACATACCTGGATAAGGGAAAAAGAACCAAGGATTGGTTGTGAGAATTTGATTCCGAGCATCGGTTCTAGCATAAAACTGGACACTATTTGGATCACTGGATAATACTCCGAAATTAGTAAAAATGGCGCTTAACGCCCATCCGAACAATACTGATATCAAAATCTGAAAGAACAAATTAAATACAGATATCAAAATCTAAAATAACAAATTAAATACAGATATCAAAATCTAAAAGGACAAATTACAGATGTCAAAATCTGAAAGGACAAATTACAGATGTCAAAATCTGAAAGGACAAATTAAATACTGATTTTATACCTTTATTTAAAGAGAGAATGGAAAACTTGAATGTTCATCAATTTAAATTTGAATAAAGATACTTTTTTGTCTTCAATAAATGTAATTGTAGGGTTTGTGACTCTGGAGTGGAAGGTGAAAGAGGGTTGTATACCTATAAGGTTTTAATACCCCAACGTTTCACACCGTTGTTGTTGTCAGTACTTAATTGTCACTATGGAAAACACCGAAGTCAGACAGTCAATAAAACAACCTTACCGAAAACACCTGATGTAATGGATACCAGAAGATGTGGAAACCTCTGCCCCTAGTCCAGAATGGAATCGGCGTCTTTTTTCCACTTAGATACAATGATAAAATTACACCACAAACTGTAGTCCTGTAAGGGAAATAGATAAACTTGTAACGGGGTAGGATGGCAACAGAATACGGAATTATCACTAGCAGGGGAAAGAAAACTAATCACTTAGGGTCTTAGTGAACGGTCAGAAATGAACTAGACTCTTTTGCTAGGTTCTCAATGTCGTGCGATGCGTTACGATTGTCTCTGAAATTTCAGGATGGATACGAGGTGATGCGAGTTAATATGTTCTGGTACGATTTGGTGCACTTGGATGCGATATGTAACGATTGCACGATTGATACGATCTGTCAAGATCTGGTCTCAGATGCGTTCCGGTAGGAAATGAAATGAAATGAAATGGGGTTTAACGTCCTACTGTTCTGCTCCTATGCTGGGCTATTGAAGACGGGCATACGCCATACAGTGTGCTATGAGGGAAATTTTCCCCAGGCAGCGGCACTATCGCCTACTCTTATATCGAATTCCAACTGCCAAGGGATCTTTTACGTGCATTCCAATGTATACACGGGGCCTCGGTTTTTCATCCCATCCGAAGGAACTAGACAACTGTCCTTGTCAGGCCCTCCGTCCTGCATCACTGACAAGGGGGAACCACGCCGGAAAATCTGGATGAACTTTCTCGGCCAATGCAGGGATCGAACACCCGACCTCCAGGCTAGCTAGCCAGCGTCTTACCCACTTAGCCACGTGATCCCCTCGTTCCGATAGGACTACCCCTATTGGGTCCACGATCTGGTACGTGCAGATACGTTCGGGTACGTTTCGATATGATCACCAGGAATCGATGCGGTTTTTGTTTGGCATTCGAATAAGATTGTGGGCGCGATGTCTTTCACTCTCGGTCACGATTGGGACCGAGAGTGGTCACGATTTGAGCCACGACGGGACATCGACGGGTATATATACAACCCGACTGACCATGGAAGTCATTGTTTTCTATAATTCTACAGAGATCGCAGAGCGTGATTTCTGTCTTGTTCAAGGCATAAGCCGATCACCACGATTTGGAAGCACGATTAGATAATTAATCGTGTTGACCGTAGAACATTTGTGAACCGTCATAAACATGTTTACGATCAACACGATTGTTACAACCGACCTCAATATAAGATAAGACCTGATAGGTTCAGCACGATTACTCTGCGATTAAAACCATGATTTCAAGTAGAATGTCGTGGGCGTTGAGTGAGAAAAGCTAGTGGGATTTGTCAAACATAGTTGAACCGTCGATAGGTGATTCAGCGCAATTGGATCCTTGTTATATTTCAGAAATACTTACGCCACAGCAGTTCCCCAAAAGGATTCGGCAAATTTCACTGTCACCCTATGCATATAAAGTACAGCTAGCATCAAAGAAGGCACAATTGTGATTGGTCCAACGTATCTTGCTATAACGCCTACTAATCCGGTAAGACCAATCAGAAGATGAAGAATACCAGCTACCATTAAACTGCCCTGCAACTATAAAATGTTTTGTTTTCTTTGGTGGAAGTGGACGTAAAACTCCAGGAACAAACGTAATACTCATTTCAAAGCAGGCTTGTCTCTCCTACATAACACCGATTTATAATAAATATTTTTTGGTGTATATGGGTGGGTAATACTATATGCCGGAAAACACAGGAAAACACCGAAAAATACCGGAAAACTACTGGAAAACACCATGTTGTACAGAATACCGGAAAACACTAAATACCGGACCCTCATCCTAACCGTAACCGTAACCCAACCCTAACCCTAGTATTTAGTGTGTTTTCCGGTATTTAGTGTTTTTCCGGTGTTTTCCGGTATTCAGTATAACATGGTGTTTTCCGGTTGTTTTTTGGTGTTTTACTGTATATAGTGTTATCGTATATGGTTATATTGGACAGTAACTATATGAAAATGTTGCGAGACTCTAATAGGATACATTTCCTCCTTTGGACTAACGAAGAAAAAAGAAATATCAAAAACTTTGACTTATACAGAGAGAATTTATAAACATTGCGAACATACAGACGGAGCAGTGGGTGTAGAGCAGAATGACGTCAATGTAGCCTTTAATCTACGGAAACAATGATATTAGAATTTTTTTTTTCGTTGTATATTTCTTCATTATTACAATACATTTGATTAAGAAATAAATTCTTTATAAAAAACGACAGAAATGATGATCAAAATAGACTTTTATTAAAAAACACTTTTTCATAAAATATCCACCGGATGTATTTATCTACTTTGTTAGAGTTTCCCTATAACCCGACGTCTTTAAGAAATAGGGTATTATGTTTTCAAGTCAAATTATAACAATATGTAATCTAAAATAAACTTTACAAAACGAGATGTGCATTCGCATTCGCCAATTTGATCACAAAGGACGGACCAAAACAATATATTTGTTTAGTTCAAGCGGTGTTATCACTCCTGCCCAAAACGTAAATCCAATTCATTTTGAATAATATTAGATTTCATATAACCAATTATAGCGAAATGAAATGGGGTTTAATATCCTGACTGGGCTAATGAAGACGGGCATACGCCATACAGTGTGCTATGATGGGCATTTTGCCAGGGCAGCGGCTCTACGGTCTACTCTTATATCGAAATCCAACTGCCAAGGGATAGTTTACGTGAACGCCAATGTGTACCTGATACCTCAGTTTTTCATCCCATCCGAACAACTAGGCAGCTGTTTTCGCCAGGTCCTTTGCCCTGTGTCACACCGGAAAATCCCGATGAACTTTCTCGGCCAACACCGGGTGCGAATCCGCGACCTCCAGGCTAGCGAGCCAGTGTTTTATCAAATTTTTATGGGGGAGGGGGGGAGTGTGTGGTATCGTGCCTAGTCCGTGTCAAAGCAAAGCGAGTGGGTTCCCTTGGGATGTATGAGGAAGAATGCGAGGGAGAGAAATAATGAAAAGCATAGTAATTGTAATTCACATTCCTATGTCCAGTTATTGAATAAATATGGTACGAGTATAAATACCACACGTAACATTATTTTGTGCACCCGCCACCGTAGTCAAATCACCCGCCACCGTAGTCAAATCACCCGCCACCGTAGATCAAATCACTTCAAACTGAGCATTGTGGCTTTTATACCAACCCACGTAGATCCACGAAATTCTTTTTAAAACAAGAACGAGTGTACCATAGACCAGGAAACGAGCAAGAAGTCAAAGCCGCCATCTTCGTTTTGTGACGTCAAAAATGAAATGAAATGAAATTGGGTTTAACGTCCTACTGTTCTGCTCCTATACTGGGCAAATGAAGACGGGCATATGCTATGAGGGAAATTTTGCCCGGGCAGCGTCACTATCGCCTACTCTTATATCGAATTCCAACTGCCAGGGGATCTTTTACGTCCATTCCAATATATACACGGGACCTCGGTTTTTCGTCTCATCCGAAGGACTAGATAGCTGTCCTTGTCAGGCCCTCCGTTCTGCACCACTAACAAGGGGAAACCACGTCGGAAAAGTGACGTCAAATCAAGGTCCGTCAATCGAGGAATAACAAGAACAACGAGACGATTAGCGCTTGGTGCACGTGAGGGGGCGGGGGTCAAGTTGTTTAACGCATGGGCGTGAAATCTCGATGTTTGTCATTGAGTCGAGTGGCGTGGTTTCAATTCCTCGCTTAAAAGTGACAAGGAGTAGGTCGCCTGTCCAACCTCGTGGGTTTTCTCAGGATCCTCCTACTGTTAAAGATCACTACGCGCAAGCGAATTAGTTAAATCAAATTGAACCAAATGAGCTGTTTTGTGTTGAGTACGACAATGTCTGTGTGGTTTGTCTTGTCCGCAGGTTTGTCTTGTTAATTTTGATTTGCGTACAGTGCGGTTCTTCTGCACTTACTATTAGAAAAAATTTGCATTACCCCATTTCCCAAGCTGCATGTCGTTAAATATGCAGTAATGAAATGGATAGTTTATTTGTTTTGGTTAAAAGAACCAATAACTATGAGGCTATGTTTACCACACACTTGACCTACTTTAACTATGAGGCTATGTTTACCACACACTTGACCTACTTTATAAACGGGTGTAAATAGATTATGTTAAAGAGGCATTATGCGAGAGCTAAATTCACTTTGCAAAGCGTTTTTCTGGCTTATTCCTAATATTACATAAATAATTATTAACACATTTATTCACTGGGCAATACCATAATCAACTCTCTAGAGCATCTGACGGCTTAGATATTGAGTGGATTAGACAATGTCCGCCATATCTGCGCTAAACGCTTTTACGTCGTACAAGCTGAAATTTACCGAAAATGCATGACGTCACGCATGAAGACTGTGGATAAAATGTCCAACATAATCGATATACACAGCTTTCTATTGTAATACAACCGATAAGGGTATCCATTAATAATTGTGCTTAGAATAAAGTCATTTGACTTTCAATATACATTTATTTTCCATTATTTATTTTTGAACTATTATAGCAAGAACTGACATCTAGCATAAATCGTGCACTCCTGACTGGAGGCGAAACTTGACTCAAAATATCAGAATGCATTTTCTCCAAATCGTGGAATACATTCCTGATGAGCCAAGATTTAACTGAAAACACCATGGATTGGCAGGAACACGATCGAGGTGACATGTTTATGTAAGGACTTATGTCCAGAATTCACCGTGTATAAAGGAATGAATCACTATGACAACCGCGGTGGCTCAATGAGACACTGGCTCACTATTATCGGAGTGTTCCGGGTGTTATCCCCGATGTGAGCCGAGAAAGTACCTCGGGATGTTCCCACCTGGTTTCCTCTTGTCAGTGGGTGGCGGAAAGGCTGCTTCTCTGGCACAATTGCTCTCACAGCGTGGCGTATACCGGTTTCGTTGCTTGGTGGATGCAGTGCGGTAGGACATTAACTCATTTGATGCCTTTTTTTAAAACAATATTTTTATTTGGGATATCCAATCTCATTAATATACAGATCTATATTTCGTTTCGTTTTTTATACTTTCGATGGCCTACACTACATGAAGATCTGACCGGTTGTAGCGATAGGTCGCGTCAGAGGTCATACGAGCGGCTTTTGACCCTATGACTTCAGACATTTGATTAACCAATCAGCATTGATGGTAATAGTGGATTACCTACAGTTCCGTGCAAAACACGCCTAAAGCTCGCCGTAACAGACCATTTCATTGGCTAATAGCTCACAACATTCAGAACACGTTAATGATAACAATTCTTCCAGATCCTAATGTAGTAAAGACAAGTAAAACGAAATTTTGAACTATAAAAACGAAACGAATTAGGATCAGATTGTCGGGATATCTAAATGGGATTAGGGAACAAACTTCCCCTATTTTCGTTCGCAGCCAACACCTAATCAAAGGTAAGAGTAGAATTCCAAATAAAATACCTACCTTTTCAAGTTGACCTAGAATGATTTCTTTGGGAACTGGTAGCCGTCCGTTTATATCGGTCATATTAACGGTGGAATTGGAGTATATTGACACTGGAGTTAAATTGACATTGTATAAGGTTATAATATGATACTGCAAAACAAGATTTTTTTGCGGCATAAAATTAATGCGAATGGCTCTGAAAATACTATAACATATATGAAGACAACAATAAACCAAAATTATCGGAGAAAAAAATAATGAGTTGACTCTTTTTCATCAAAACTTTGAACAAAATAAATGGAGATTTTAATTACACCAGATGTTTTTCTAATATGCTTACACACATAAAATCTAAAATTGATAATGCTATGGCATGATATGGCAAAGAATGCGATTTTTATGATATTAATTTCATACTCTAAACTACATCATTATACATTTATATTCTATGGGGAGCCAAGGGAGAAACGTATAGTTGTTCGGATGGGACGAAAAACCGAGGCCCCGTGTACACATTGGCGTGCACGTAACAGAACCCTGTTAGATTTCGAAATAAAGAGTAGGCCTTAAAGCCGCTGCCCGGGCTCAATTTCCCCCGTAGCATACTCCATGACGTATTCTCGTTTTCATTATCTCAGTGCGTGCATCAAAATCGGACGTTAAACGCCATTATATATATTCGATTACTGTTTAAAATATATAGATATCTTTAACGGTAACTTCGACAGATTTAAAATACAGATGTGACGTCATCCTTTGATGTTGGCATACCATTATTTCCAATAATGTACGGGCAACTTGCCAATCGTACATTATCTATACTAGATAAAATATTGGACTCGCGTGACGTATTTCATTGAAAAGCACGTGTGGGATAGTGTCTGTATTGTAAGTTGTTTAATGGTATCGAGCTAAAGACATTGCGTAATACATGTATATTGAAACAACACTCGGCTAACGCCTCCTGCAGTATCAATATATTACTTAATGTCTCGCACCCGACCATTAAACCATACATAACTACCACCAAGGGAATTGTTATGTCCCAGTTTCTTTGAAGTTAAAATTGTTCAGTTAATAGCCAAAAGGTGGAATTTTGTTATTTACTCGCTTCAGAAACTGAAGCGCAAGGAATGCCACAGCGAATATTTAGCATATATAAAGTACATTTAACAGGTAGGTATACAGGTATATCCATTTTAAAGGACAATTGGGTTATCAACCTTTCTGGGGGATCATATATGTTGGTCACTCAATTTGAACTTTCACTCTAAATCAACAATTACCTAACTCTTCCTTTGATGGGCAGCTCCATTCTTTTAAGGTCATTAGGCCAATTAGAGGTACTACGTAACTAGAACTGGGGCCTTGAAATATCGGTAATCTACAAAATAATAGAAAACATCAAAGATGATCTTTTTGTGACATTATCAAATAGATTATATAGAACTGCAAAAGCATCCGTGGTATTTTTTTTTAAAACCCTGTTCATCTCTTTTCCCGTGGAATGTTTGTAGAGATGGACATTTAATTTAAACAGGGATGAAGGTTACCTAGGATACCCTCACCCTTACAACCTGTCCAACGAGTGGCTATAATATTACATAGTGAGTTACCTGTTTTAAGGAAACACTCGGGTGGTAATTAACCTGTTTGTTATTAAAGGTTTGACAGAGAATTTATATTGATCCCGGAGAACGACCTAAAGCCCTTACGGCGCCATTGTTTTTCTGTGGCTTTTGCGTCCAAAATCAAAAAAAGGGCTATATTTTAAGGACACGCCTTCAAATTTCATATTACGTTGGTTAACAAAATATTTGTTGCCCCCTGAACTGAGTATATTAACAAGTATGAACATTCAGATGAGGCAATCCATAGGAAAAAACACGAAGAGGGGCAGTAAGTAGGGTCAACAGATCTTCTATACTCCCGCACTTAGCCCCTGTCAGATTGTCAACAAGTACTCGGGTACGCGATAGCAGCTAAAGTTTTTGACGGATTGTTTTCAAAATTTGTATGATGATTTCAGGTCTTTCGAGGATGACTTTTAGCGTTCTGCGATATTTGGTTCTAGATGTATCCACCGACCACCTCATCATGTCATCTGATAACGCGATAGAGGCGAAAATGTAGGTATGAACCACAAAAAGTATGAGCAGATGATCCCTATCGATTTTTAGCTTTTCCGCTGTGAGTTACTGCCCGTTTTTAATTCTCGGATCTTGAGTAACCCATATGGATCTTCTGGAAGCCAAAATGTTTCTCAAAATATTTAGTCGCAGACGAGAGGAAGAGAGGAGCAGAGACCTGCGTATGGACCCACTCGAGTTCAGCCGCTGCCGTGGCAGGAGGACGGATTGGTTGTCTTAATGTACCGATGTTAATGTTATGGTTTATATTCCCGATGTAGTTTAGTTCCTGTGGCAGGAGGACGGATTGGTTGTCCTAATGTACCGATGTTAATGTTATGGTTTATATTCCCGATGTAGTTTAGTTCCTGTTGTATTTATGTAGCTGTTTTATATACCTGATGTTAATAAATCATATATTTAATAAATTGATATCTGTTATCACTAAGATATATATACAGGTAAATAGTGTGGTGATAATTACATGGGCGGTTATATCGCGTACCCATTGAGATGCTTATAATTGTCCCTAAATGGGTACGTACGTTAATCCATACCATTTACGACCCTAATAAAACATCTGTCATCCGGTCGGATTATGTAATAATAAGTTATTGGCTGATAAATTCAAAGTTAGATCCACAGATGAATAAAAAATATTATTTCGAATGGTACACCAAATGTCAATTCCGTTTTCGTTTTTATTGCATCCGAAGTATATTTTAGAATTAATTTTATACCGGTGCAGAACTACTGTTAATTGCTAGTTAAATATATTCTGACTGTTTTATGTGCAAATCAATGGTCGGATAATTGGAAAATTATATTTGAATTATTGTTCTCTGTGACTATAAATATTTCTGTCTATTCTATTGATGATACATAGATTGTAAAGCACAACTGTTAATAATGGGAGTTTTACGGTTACTCCTTGTGATTTGTTTCATCGGACTTGTAACCAGTAAGTATTGTATTAATAACATATACTTGTCTTATTAACATGGGAGCCACGGTGGCTAAGTGGGTAAGACGCTGGCTCGCTAGTCTGGAGTTTGCGTGTTCGATCCCTGCCTTGGCCAAGAAAGCTTATCGGGATTTTCCGACGTGGTGCAGGACGGAGGGCCTGAAAAGGAGAACTGTTTATTCGTTCGGGTGGCGTGAAAATCCAAGGTCCCGTGTATACATTGGCATGTACGTAAATTCAGTATAAAGGTAGGCCATTGTGCCGCTGCAAGATTATGATTTAAAAAGCATGCGTTAGACCATTCGTTTGGCGTTAAACTCTATTTTATTACTAGCATGACCGTCAAATTTGTAGTTTTAGAACTAAAACTGTCCGTATTATGAAAACTTTAATAATCTGATGAATTCTGCACATTTTATAAGACACTTTTGGTTCCTTTGTTGAAACACATTCATCAATGCTTACAAATATACACCGTTTCAGGCATATGGCTGAACATTACCTGTCATATCAAGAACAAAAATTTACGAATCTTAATTAATCTCTAAAAATGGGCGATAAAACTAAATCTGATGTGTGACCATTTCCGCAAATGATGTTCTATTCGACTCTTGGTCACTTTTAGTTTAACCACGAAAGGTTCAAGACATCTGGTGTATATTTGACAGATCCCATATTATTATTTGTTGGCACTAACTTCGATTGGTCCCTGATCAAGCTGCGGACCTCGCGGATTCCTCGATAGAAAAATATCATCGCGAATACCAAGTCGCGTGGTTTCCAACTGAAATGTTTAGTTGTGGTAATCGAGTTGCAAGGTTCGTAGTTCAATATTAAGGTTGCTGGATCTTTCCGCTTTTCGGCTATGACCCAAACCCGTCTTATTTACGTTTTGTTCTTCCATTATGCCAGTGGGTTTGTTTTTCTTTGGTCTTCCGTGAGTTTTTCAGCTAAAATAAGCCTTGAATCGCTTTAAACGAATCTATTCCTTCACATCTGTGGTAAAGGGAGATAACTAGCCAAGAGTTTGGGAATTTCAGACTAACCTAGCAACGGCTAGATGTTCTAAAACTTGCAGTCGTTTCTCCGGGAAGATGAGAGTGACGAGAACATTAGATAACGTTCCTCGTTGTTTTGCGAAGTTCATATAGGTTGTATAATTTGTTTATAATACACCTTGTTTTTGCATTACAGGTGCAAGTATACGAAGCGATGGCGCTGGATCATTGCAGCCACGTGATGAGCAGTCAGGTAATGTTATTGTTATTCGTTGTTGTATCCAACTTTATAAACACTACTCAATGTTCAAGGGCGGATCCAGAGACATGGATGGGAGGGGCGGGGTGCACGGGCGGCGAAGCCGCACGCCGCGAGCGCCGAAGACGCGAAGCGCACAACGGGAGGTCCGGGTATAGAAATCCAGATGGGGGAGGGGGGCAGCGCCGGATGCGCCCCACTAGTGAGTGGCCTGGGGTCACGTGTACTCGTTGGCGTACACGGAAACGAATCCAAGACAATTAGAATTGAATGGAGCAGAGGCTGACACTTGTCAGAGAGGGCGTTCCTTCATAGCATATGTTCTATAAATGTTCGCCCATCCCCACCCTCACTGCCAAAGACCACGACGTGCAAACGAATTATTTAAATAACATTGAACCATATGTTAGTCCCGAAATGACCTAGTGTGTGTCGAGTGGACGTTAAACCCTATCTCTCCGCTCCACCTTGCGGGGCTTCTCCTGGTCCTCGGATTCCTCCCACTGCTGAAGACCCCTACGTAGGTGCATACTCTATATAATATTATGTTTTAGGATTAATGTAGTCTATACGTCATGTTGTTTGGAACAGTGTTTGTAGTCGATATTTCATGTTTCAGGATTAACGGAGCCCGAAAGTCGCCCTGGTCAGTGTCTTTATAAGGGTGTGTGGCACGATACCGACAAGAGTTTTAGTGATGATTGTAATACCTGCGGATGCACTGAAACTGGGATGGTATGGTGCACCCTCGTGTTTTGTCATGTACTATGAGTGATAATAAAAAGCGATATAAAGTGTTACATGGATATTGTCTGTTATAGTTTTGTCATTTCTAAAGCCGTGTCCACGAAGTGCCGTTTTTCAAACTTATTAAAATGACATTGAGGAGAGCGAGAGAGAGAAAGGGATGTTTAACGTCCACAAACCAGGTCATTTCAAGACTAACATATGGTTCGATTTTATTTCAATAATTCGCTTGCGCATAGGGTTTTTAGCAGTGGGAGGAAACCTGAGGGCCCGGAGAAAACCCACGAGGTTGGACAGGCAATCCTACTCCTTGTCACGTACAACCGTAGAATCGAAACCACACCAGTTGACTCAATGACAGACCTTATGATACAACGCGCACACGCTAATCATTCGGTCACCCCCCCCCCCCCCAGTGGCGGCGCCAGCCGTCGGTGATTGGAGGGGCAAAGCTGGGGCAAAGTCCAAGGTTAATGGGGCAAAGGCACGAGCTTTAACTAGGGGTAGGGGGCCTCCCCCAGAAAATTTTGAAAAACAGGCTGCCGGAAATGCAGCCTGGCAGTATTTCAGGCACTGATCGATGAGGTAAAGTGTCAAACGAACGGACTTGCGAATCACGACGAAGCCCACTCAAGAGCGTCAAAGTAAGGAGTCCACCCCCAGAAAATTTTGAAAAATAGACTGCCGGAAATGCTGTCTTACAGTATTCTGTCAGGCACCGATCGTCGAGATAAATAGATCTGACCAGATACCGTCCGTCGCCTGATCACTAGTTTATCCGACTAGAGAACAAAATGTCAAACGAACGGACTTGCGAACCTCAACGAATCCCCCTTGTGAGCGCCAAAGTAGCGAGTCCATTGGGGACCTCGCCAAGAAAATTTTGAAAAATAGACTGTCGGAAATGCTCTACAACATGCAAGTTTATGACTGAGTGGGGATGTGGGATTTATTCACCGTAGAAGGTATTGATTACCGAAACGTATCCTTGCCCCCCCCCCCCCCCGGACAAAAACACCAGGATCGAACCCGTGTATTCTTCGATAAGGAGCCAGTACTTTAATTACTCACTGTACAACCATGGATCCCTACTATTCAAATGCAAAAAAGATGTCATTAGCATGAAATGGATTTTTTTTAAAGGGACTATCCCAATTTTAACAGAGTTCCCCAATAAAAGGCCGTGTCGGTATGCAATTGAAGCGCCAAAATATAGAGGAATGGTGTATATATCTTGTCTCATAATGTCAGCTCAAAATATTGAGTAGTTTGTACGTGAGCGTCAAAACCGCTTCGGGTCATTATTTTCGTTGAGTGACCTCATAATTTTTGCCGTTCCTTTAGGGGTCAATACAGTACATGACGAGTGCTGTACTTGATAGTGAAAGGTAAATTTCGCCTCCACGCTATGTTTATAAAATAAAAGTCTGGCTTTATCCAGACACCGTATACTACAGCTTGGGACACCGGTCTCAATTTCCTGATGAAGATTGACGGGTTTAAGTTGTTTGAAAACGTATTAAGTATATCAAGTTATTCATTCCCTTGGGATGGACTGTGATATCCCCGAATTGGGTCCATGGGACACAGTCCTCATGCTTTCTGCATACCAGGCAGATTTGGTCGCTGTATACAGATTTGCATATACGTATACAATGCTTGGTGGTGAGAGGGAGAGAGAGAAATGGGGTTTAACGTCCACTCGACACAAACTAGGTCATTTCGGGACTAACATATGGTTTAATTTTATTTCAATAATTCGCTTACGCGTAGGGGTCTTTAGGTCTTTAGCAGTGGGAGGAAACCGGAAGACCCGGAGAAAACCCACGAGGTTGGACAGGCAACCCTACTCCTTGTCACGAATGCTTGGTGGTACCAGCTATGTGTTTTTCAATAATCATAGTGTGGGACTTCCTTTTTTAAAACCTCCGTTTGAGACTTGCCATTTGGTAAGAGAAATACGTTGTCTACGGGGTCCCGGACTAGGTGTGTATACTCCCATATTGCAGGAGAGGTCGATCTGCATCCATATCAGCAATCAAAGTCTTGCCAGCGAATATGGTTCACAGTGGAAATAATACTTTTGTGTATTTCAGTAAATATGTAAATAGTGTAATGAGTTAATATAAATCTTGAATCACTTCCATTTTGGCAGTGCTATCTTCCAAGGCATATTTTAAGGAAAGCTACCCTCGAATTTCTTGTTGGTTGAGTAATCCGTGAATAAAAACATTTTAAGAAATTGACTGCTATACATTTTTTGGTGTACATCCTTATAACACATTCCCTCATTCTGTTAGACCTTTCCATTGTGAATGTATTCACTGTTCGTATACATACACGCTAAAATGTACACGGGACCTCGGTTCACTGTCAGGTTTCTCTATCTCCATAAACAGATTATATTGTGTTATGCTAACTATTTTAATCTTAGATCATCCCGGATTAAGATACATTATATACGATTCGTTACGCGAGAGCTTGTTCATTTTATTCTGATTTTTTTAAGTAGATCGAGGTATTTGTCATCTAAGCTCCAACTACAGGGATACTTGCGAACTAAACTTATTAAAACCTTTAAAAAGTTTTATGGGCGTCATATTGACTTGATTGTTAAATATAATATTCAAAAAAAGTAGGGGATATTTGATTTTTAAGTGTTATTAAAGTCACCTAATGAAACTGACGAAGAAACAAATGACAAAATGAAATGAAGTTCACATTCATCGATTTATTCCAAATGATCGTTAGACTAAGTAAGGCACAGACTGGCCATTATAAGGGTTAAATGATACCCGGGGTCAAACAGCAAAGTTACCACAGCATCACAACCAAGTCAGTAACGGGTAAATCCTCCTCTGTTTGCCAAACAAGCATTGATCCGACGTGGCATACTCCTAATGAGACGTCTAAGGTCATTTTGGTCCAGATTGTCCCATTCCTGTTGCAACGCAGCAGCAAGTTCTTGGACATTGGCAGGACGTTGTTGACGTTGACGTAACCTCTGTCCAAGCATGTCCCAGACATGCTCGATGGGGGAGAGGTCGGGACTCAGTGCTGGCCAAGGTAATGTGGTGATGTTCTGTTGTTGGAGGTAACCTGTAACGATCCTGGCCCTGTGACATCTTGCGTTTTCATCCTGGAAGATGAAACGGCGGCCATGACGTCGTGCGAACGGCACAACATGGACTGCCAAGATGTTGTCCCGGTAGTACTGGCCTGTAACACGCCCTGCAACAACATGTAAAGCCGTTCTTCCAGCAACAGTGATGCCTCCCCACACCATAACAGAACCACCCCCAAATCGATCATGTCTGATGACGTTAACGTCTTGGAAGCGCTCGTTTCGACGACACCACACCCTCCTACGTCTGTCCAAAAAATCAACAGTGAACCTTGACTCATCTGAAAACATCACATTGCTCCAGCGTCGATTATCCCAGTGTTGACGATCCCTACACCAACGACGTCTTGCCTGAATGTGATGATCTCTCAAACAAGGGATCACGCGAGGACGTCGGGCGTGAAGGTGACCCCTATGCAGTCGATTCCGAATCGTCTGGCCACTCACTCTCACACCAGTGTCTGTTTGAAGACGAGCGCTGATCTGATTTGCTGTGATGACACGATTTCTCAAGGCCAAGGTACGGATAAATCGATCCTGGGCTTGAGTTGTCGCCCTTGGTCGACCTGAGCGTGGTCTGTCCTGTACAGATTGTGTATCACGGTATCTGGACCATAGCCTGCTTATGACAGACTGAGAAACATTCATCGTCCGCGCCACAACCGCCTGTGTTGTGCCGATCTGTAGCATGCCAAGGGCACGTAACCTTTCATTTTGGGTAAGCCGACGCATATCAAAATTTGTTTTCTGGTCACTAAAACAATTAAACTGATGTTTCCACCCTGGAATTCAATGCCACAATGACTGTAACATTCAAAGTCAGAGTCGTGCAAATCTTGGGTTGGACCCCCATGATGATCCCAAGCATCACCTGCATTCCATGCGGTAGCTATTGGTGCGTTTGGCCGTCACATGTAACTGGAAATGTTTCTTCTGTTAGGTTCTATAGTGACTTTTTTCGTAGTCATTTGCATATTTTAGTATTATGCCCCCAAAATCAAATATCCCCTACTTTTTTTGAATAGTATATAACATGACTCTCTCGGCTATTATTCTAGATATATTTAATTGACGCGTATACTATCTCCCTGATAATGGTTGTCTACTACATCGTTAACACTGTTCATCACGTGCATTTTGCATACCGATAGTCCATTGGCCAATCACGCTATTTTACCGAGATTTCGCCTAATAGTTTGGATGCAGCTATGGCGGGTGTGGCGCCAGACAGGGTAAGCTTACTCTTCCGGACATCTGTTACTACTGTATGTCGTGTATTTTGTACACGGTGAACAGTCCATATGCTGATTACACTATTTTGCCTTATTACACTATTTTGCCTATACCGTTTTTTTTAGGACTTCGAATTTTGTCTAATGGTTTGGATTGTTCGTACTTAGTTTTATTTTATTTTATTGAAATAAAGAGCTGACCGTTCCTGCTTTAATAGTTCAAAGATAGATAATGATAAATTAATATAATATATTGAAAATTTCGTTCTAATTACTGTATTGTGAGTGCTTTTAGCAGTGTTGAAGATGGGCCTATCATGTGAATAAATGTCTAAATGATGATTTATATCAAATTTGAAGCCAGAAATAAGATCCGCAATAGGCAGATTAAGCACTTTCATAGTGTATCTTTAATTACATTATGGTGACAGTATCAAATCCATCAGCCACTATTTAGCTTCACTGTAAACGTTTTATTTTTAAGAGCACATATTAGTTTATGCAATCTAAAAAGTAATATGAAACATTTTAAAGGCAGGCCCCCTACCGAAAGGTAATAAAACAATGTACAATTGCCTCAAGAGTAATTTAATTAAGATCCGTAGTCCAAATAACAGTATTAATTTTATCAATTTTAAATACTGAAAATTGATAAGCTTTTGCTTAACCCTACTTAAAATCGTACCCAATTCAGTAACTTAAATTTGACATTTGAAACTTCCTTTGATTTTGTCTTTGTGACTATAAAACATAGGTTGCCAGGAAACAAATCATAAAAAACTACAGATCTCTTGATAAGGTTTGTGAGCTGTTTATACGAGAGAAACGGGTTTAACGTCCACTCAAAATAAACTAGTCGTTTCGGGACTAACATATTGTTCAATTTTATTTCTTTAGCAGTGGGAGGAAACCCGGGGACTCGGAGTAGCCCCCCCCCCCCTTGTTATCTCCTTTTGTTAATTTTAGGATTATTATCCATTTTTGAACGATTATAAGGAGAACAATTAAATCTATACCTAACTCTTTCATAATGCATCTTTAAGGAAAACCTGAAACCCTCAATAAACAACAATAGTTTCTCACCTGACTCCTACTGTACACATCAACATTGTTGCAATACCAGCCATCATGAAGGTTGTACTAAGAAGTTGAGCTTTAATTTCATCGTCATCTCTGGCACAAACAAGTTCAGCTACCAGTAATGATACAGACAGTGATGTGGACACTGGTAGTAAGGCTTGCTGAAACAACAAAGTCAGGGCAGTTATAAACTACAATGATTTCTGTAGACCGGTCTATGTGTGGTCATCCATAACTGACCAAAACAGGGGATAACAATTTGGACAAAATCGGACCACAATGGTCCAAATCGTCCTTTTAAAGGGACCATCCCGATTTTAACATCTCGAGTCCCCCAATGAAAAGTACGTGTACTTATGAAATTTAAGCGCCAAAAAAAGTTCATTTGCACTGAAAGTGAATGCGCAGTCATTATTGTATTATGAAAAGAAGCTTTTTACCTCCAGGGTCACTAAGTTTACATTTTAGCAAGTTTACATTTTTTATTGAAAGTGTGATTACTTTCGATCATTTTCAGCTTATTTTCATGATGCAAGAATGACTGAACATTCACTTTCAGTGCAAGTGAACCCATTTGACCTTTGACCCCGAATATCTCGACAACGCCCCAACGGCGGACTGATTACCACTCGGCATCGTATTCTACGCAAAATTTTACTCTAGAAAGGGGCCCCGAAGTCCAAGAAAAGAAGCACAGAATCGGAGAAAACGGACTTCATGGCAAGGTCACCAGTGCCCTAGTAGTAAGGTTAAGTGCATAGTGCATAGGCCACGTTTTTTTTGTTATCTTCTTTTAAACACGCCGTGCACTGGATATTCGTTAGCGTTGGTTACGATGGGTGGATTCTGAAGGTCCTGAGTTTCGTTCCCGGTGTTGGTCAAGAAAATTCATCGGGATTTTCCGGCGAGGTTTCTCCGTGTCAGCGGTGCAGGACGGAGGGCATGGCAATAAACAACGTATAGTCCTTCGGGTGGGACGAAAAACTCATTTCTCGTGTACACATTGGCGTAGACTTAAGCGAATACTTGACAGTTGGAATTCGATATAAGGTATGTCGTAGTAGCGCTGTCCGGGAAAAGTTTCCCTCGTAGCACAATGTACGGCGTATGTCTGTCTTCATTAGCCCAGTCGGAGCGGAACAGTAGGACGTTTAACCCATTTCATTTCGCCACACGGAAAATGTCAAATGCTTATCGTAAGCAATCAATTTGTTTATAACATGGGGATTAACATCTTATCTTTCTCCACCAACCAGGTTAATGAAGTGTGCTATGTGTGAAGTTTTGCCCGGACAGCGCTACGGCCAATTCCAACAGTCAGGATTACTTTTACGTGTACGATTCGGTTTATCTTACCCAACCGAAAGACTATACGCGTCACAAAGTTCCGCAGCACTCCTTCCACCGTCCATCACCACTGACAAGTGGAAACCCCACCAGAAAATTTCGAGGGACTTTCAAGACCAACATCGGCCGTCTTATGGTCCGTCTTATCCAATTGGTACGAAGGATTAGAAAGTTAACCCTGAATTCATTTGTTTTTCGCCGTTTTGGGCAAAGAAATCGTCGGTTCCAATCTGTATCTAAATCGACAGGAAAGTGCTCTAATGCTCATCTAAGGCGATGTAATTTTCTAAATTTTCTTAGGAAGGACCCCCGAATACCCGTCACTGTGGCCCCTCAGAACGACCCGCCTCCAGCGGCTGATCCCTTAAACCGCCCCTGATAGTGATATTTGAAGGATGATATATGACATACCACTAATTCTTTCGTATGATGTATAATTTAATAGAAAAAATCCACTTATTCCTATGATGTATAATTTAATAGAAAAAAATCACTTATTCGTATGTATAATTTAATAGAAAAAATTCACTTATTCGTATGATGTATAATTTAATAGAAAAAATTCAATTATTCGTATGTATAATTTAATAGAAAAAAATTCACTTATTCGTATGATGTATAATTTAATAGAAAAAAATGACTTATTAGTGCGAAAATATATCTCCACTGAAAAGAACAACCCTTACTGGATTATCCAACAATCATTACCGGATTATCTTATTTTGATATTAATCAGATGAATCAAAATGTTAGTTCAAATAACAAAATAAACAAACATTAGTAAATTAAATCAAGGTCGCATGTTATTTGTTTACCCTTGTGAACTTAGCGACTTAGTAAATTAATCATATAGTTTAGGGCACAGACCTGTACAGCAAACAATAAAGTAAGATGTAATGGCGGACTGTCTTTTATCTTGTAATACAGCTTAATCAGCTTTTCTTGTTCAATTTCTATATTAAGATCCTTTTTTTCATCTTCAGCTTTGCCGTCCAAGAGAGTCTCAGCCTGAGCATGAGCTTCATTGTTGTCCATATTGTCTGATGATCAAACTATTATTAAAGTGTGTTTTTATTAACAATATATACCCGTGCATGGTTTGTGTGGATACATTCATTAAGAAGGACCAACAACCTCCCTGAATTAATTACCTTTGCATATCTTTAAAATTTCGTCATATATGGTTAAAACTACCAACCATGTGCCTGACGATTAATACTACACTGTCTTTAGCATAGCATATTTAATAGTCCAGATAGCTTTTGCTGCAGGTTTTTGTCATATTTCTTTTCACACCAAGAACAATAACTCAGTTAAAGGATTAAAACTGGAATTTTAACAAAGGAGTGTGTCATGGAGATGAATATATATAAGCTATGGCTTGTTTTCAGATCAACAATATCAGTATTGTAAATAATCATGATATAATAGAAATAAAATATTGTTTAAACCAAACTGGTCCACAATAACGAATAGGAATCGCTTGAACGAGCCGGTCTCCAGATTACAATAGCATATTTAAACATATATAGACATATGGATCATACTGAGATAGAGAGAGAGAGAGAGAGAGAGAGAGAGAGAGAGAGAGAGGTAACGTCCACTCGACACAAAGCCGGTCATTTCGGGACTAACACATGGTTCAATTTTATTTCAATAATTTCGCTCGTGCGTGGGGGTCTTTAACAGTGGGAGGAAACCGGAGGGCCCGGAGAAAACCCACGGGGTTAGACAGGCGTCCCTACTCCTTGTCACGTACAACTGGGGAATCGAAACCACGCCAGCTGACTCAATGACAGACCTTATGATACAGCGTGAATGAGCTAACCATTCGGCCATCCAGCCCCCCTGAATCATACTTAAGCGGTGGACACACTAGCCGAACGATTCGGCCGAATCAATTGGCGTCGAAATTCGCCTAGTGTGTCCACTGTCATTCGGCCGAATGATTCGCCCGAATCAAACAGGTTTGATATATTCGGCCGATCGGCCGAATATAGAATTCGTTAGCCAATAACCAGTCATATCGAGAAGTCACGTGATAGATTGAAGACATAGACGCCGCCATGGTTAATCATGTGTCGTGAAAGGTGATGCAATCGGCAGGTTGAATCGGGCGAAGCATTCGGCTAGTGTGTCCACCCATTCGGCCGAATAAAATTCGGCGCCGATTGATTCGGCCGAACGATTCAGCTAATGTGTCCACTGCTTAAGAGAGAGAGAGAAATGGGGTTTAACGTCCACTCGACACAAACTAGGTTATTTCGGAACTAACACATGGTTCAATTTTATTTCAATAAATTCGCTCGTGCGTAGTGGTCTTTAGCGTAGGGAATCGAAACCACGCCAGCTGACTCAATGACAGACCTTATGATACAGCGTGAATGAGCTAACCATTCGGCCATCCAACCCCCCTGAATCATACTTAGAGTATGATCTTTAGTTTATATAAGATGATATGAACATAGCAAGAACACGTGTTTATAATAATTACATAACCAGTATAATCCTGGTTATCTGATGAAAGGTTAGCGTGATATCAATTTGGACATTGATCATGATTTCTACTTTAGTGCAAATTGAATAATCATAAAAATGTAAACAAATATAGCGCATAACAGAATTGATGTGGTTAGATCACGAAAGTTTCTGAAAAAAAATAGAACCAACGATCTAGATAATATTAAACATACATTATGCAAGATCTAAATCTGCCTATTGCAGGTCTTACTTTAGGCCTGAAATGTTTTCTAAATTATTAATTAGACCATAATCGACTCTCGATGGCATCGGATACTCGAGATTTTAACTAGATTAAAACGGTTCGCCATTTAAAAATTAGAAAGCGAGGCTAAGTCCCGATTATACCAGTGCCCTGTTTACCACTGTGCACACATCTTGTCAAAACTACAAACAATGGTAACTTGGCTGAGAATGAAGTATAAATTTGAATGAAATTTTCAATTTTTTTTTTTTTTATCATCTGTTTTTGAATTATTAAACTCTTAACTAACGTATCTTTAACAATGCTATTTTTAAAACCATTATCCGATTTGACTTTTCGAATAACGAAAATCAAATTACAATCGATTTATGCCTATGATCAATATATCATGAGATTTTTTTTTATAATCATAGAAATTCAAGATAAGTATATTATATTCCCATATGACAATGTGGATTTCAGCCCGTTAAAATATATTTTGATACGTAGAGCTGGCATTTAGTAATTGAACTGGAATATACAGTTCACAATTCTATGGAATACAATGTACTGCTTATTACTGAGCGATGTTCTGTGTAGGCTTGATAATGACTAGAGAAGCCTAATCGAAACGTCGCTCAGTAATAAGCAGGAATTGTATTCCATAGAATTATGACCTGTATACGTATACTTATTTGAGACAATATTCGTCGAGATTAGCAAAGCTTTTGAGCGTGTTTGACATGACAATGTAGCTTTAGTTCAGACTTTTCTTAATTTAATCATTATTTCTATCTACTCAATTTAATGATTGATCTTGGCGGAACAGAATCTATCCACGGGTTATACCCAAGGTTTTGTTCTGGTCCGAGTCCTATTTGTATTATGTATATATGCAGCCGTGAGTGTCTTGGTTACTGTTCTTGATCCTAATTTTATACAAAGTTAAACCAGTTCAAATGTGAATAGATATAAAATCCGGGTTTCAGCTGTAAATCTGCGGGGGAAGGGGGGAGGTGGCGGCCCAACGCGTGCCCTGCTGATCATAATGACTGTTCCCAGGCATTATATTATCATATCCTGTAATATTGAACATATTTTTTTTGGAAC